AAAAAAAAAAAAAAAAAAAAAAAAAAATCAAATAAATCTATAAGTCTAATCATTTCTAACAAAAAGTTGTGTTGTTACTTACTATTTCTTGTTCTACTTTTTTTGGCATATTTTTTAATAGATGACTAAAAGAGGGTGAAATTTTGATGAAAAGCTTTTTTAAAAAATGGTAGTAGAGCCTGGGGATATATCTCAGCGGCATGAGCACTTACCTGGCAAGTGCAAGGTCTGGAGTTCGATCCCTGGTACCAAAAAAAAGTAATAGGGATAGAACTCAGGGCCTTTCCACTGAGCTGAATCTGCAACCCTTTTTTTTTTTTTTTTCAGAACCGGAGATTGCAGCCCTTTTTTAAAAAATGTTTTGCTTGGTTTGGTTTGAGTTGGTTTTGCTGTATTGAGAATAAACTGGGGATAGCAGGAGGAGTGTACCACTGACCTAAGTCTCCAGTCATTTTTGTTTTTTATTTTGTAATAGGATCCAGCTAAACTACCCTGGTAGGTCCTGAACTTACATTCCTCTTTCCTCAGGAGTGCTGGGTTGCAGGCATGTGTCACTGCCCATCTGGCCCTTTCTTACCTTTTATTTTGAGACAGGGTCTTGTTAAATCATTAAGTTCCCAAGGCTGGGCTTGCACTTGAAATCCTCCCACCTTGCCTCCAGGGTGCTGGGATTCTGGGTGTGGGCCACCAAACTGAACTGTGCTTTCTGTGATCTAGTTTCCTCTCTCCCTGGACCTTTCTGCTCAGCTGTGCATGTGGATGTGTTATTTGAGGACTATTTCTTCATCTCTACTAGTAGTATATAGAACCAGTTTGATCTAAAGCTGCCTTGTCCCCACCTCCTCAAAACTGGACGCTACAATAACTGAGATATTTCCAGGATTTACAGGGCACCTTCACCTTGTGGTTTCCCAAGTACAGTCACCAGGTTTTACAGTGTCGCATCCCAGACCGCCTAAGAGGTACCCTGAAGTCTCCAGTCATCTTGTTCTACCAGAAACCCTTCTTTCTCTTTACCCAAGGGTTAAAGCTTGAGACTGTTTACAGGGATCTTTTTTGATGGTAGCCTGGGCATCTTATTTTGCTCACTTTCCAAGTCATCTTTTTTCCTTGGCCTGAGAATTCATCCTGGAGTCGCTGGGCCCATTCAGGTGACAAGTAAACAGATTTGGCTTTGGTGATGGAGTGGTCTGTGGCCTGGGCTTACAGGACTGGAAGGGAAGTAATCAGTAGGCCGTGTGCTCAGTCACCTCAGGCCGCTGGAATACGTGTCCAGGAAAGGGCTGCGTTAGCATGAGCTGAGGGTGAGGTTTTGGGCTCCTGACATAATGTTACCCAGCAGACACTTCAGCAGGTCCAAGTGAGAGCCAGTGCCTTCAGCAAAGGCAGCCTTCAAGTCCCTGGAAAGTGAGCTAGGTCACCATTGTCATGGTGACAGGGGCGTCCTCCGCCACAAAGTTAGTGGGAGACTGATCCTATATTGCTCAGGGGATGACCTCCAAAAAGTAGTCTTTTTCTTTCTTTCTTTTTTTTTTTTTTTTTTGCGGAACCGGGGATTGAACTCAGATCCTTGCACTTGCCAGGGAAGCGCTTATTCCACTGAGCCATCTCCCCGCCCCCATTCTTTTTCTTTTTTTTTTTGCCATTAAAAAATGCAATCATTATAGTCTGTTCCTTTAGAGCCACTCTCAGAACCAAAATCTGTATCACTCAGGGTTTTACTAGAGCTACAGATATAACACAAGATGTACAAGTGTGTAAGAAATTACAAGATTGGCTTGTGACAGTCAGCCACAGAGTCTGATGAGGAAGCACGCAAGGGCATCTGCACACTGGAGCCTGAAGGATTCAGTCCAAGGTCTGGGACTCACTGCAGTGTTCCGTGAAAATCCATATCAGGAGCCCAGTAGGTCTGTGATCAAGGACTGATTGTTCTACACCAGAAGGCTGATGGTAGTCTTTTTATTTTATTTTTGGTGGTACTGGGGATTGAACTCAGGCCCTTGCTCTTGCCAGGCAAGTGCTTATTCTACTGAGCCATCTCCCCAGCCCCATGGAGGTAGTCTTAAAGTCAAATAAAAGCAAGTGAACTAGAGGGTTTGCTTAGGCTTTTCCCTCACTTTCATATTAGGACTCTCCAGGGAACAGCCAAAATCTGGCCTTTCCTGAGGGACTCAGCTAGGGCTGGGTGTGTATGTTACTTTTGTAGAATTTGCCAACAAGTGAATTTAGAGGGCAGACAGGATGGGGTGGTACAAGCTGGGAAACTGGCAAGAGTATGCTTTGCCTACATCATTTCTCTGTGTGTACTTGTGCATTATGTACACGCTCCGCGCTAGGTAACCATCTCCACTGTCTATCTTTGGAAATTTTTTTTCATCCCAAGCCCATTAACCAATGGTGACCAGTGTCCCCCTTGCGACCCCTGACACTCCTGTTCAGTGCTGCTTCTACCACACTGGGGATTAATCCAGAGCTCTGCACTTGCTGAGCAAGTGCTCTGCCACAGAGCTGCTTCCCAACCCTCCTTATTTTGAAAGTTGCTCAGGCTGGCCTCAAACTTGCAATCCTGCCTCAGTCTCCCAAATGTCTGGGATTATAAGTAGGCACCACCATACCCAGTTCTCTCTTTCTCTATGAATTTAATACTCTTGGTACCTCATTGTTTACGGTTCTTCAGGAAGACAGAACCAGCAGATCCACCAACAGATAGCACTGGGCAGCAGCTCTGAAGAATAAGAAATCCCAAGATTTGCTGTCAACAAGCAGGAGATTTAGGAAAGCCAGTGATGTGTTTCCGGTCCAAGCTGGATGGCCTGGGAAGCCAGACAAAGCAGCCAAAGTGAGAGAATTCCTCTTTGCCTCACCTTTGCGGGTTTTGTTTTTTTGCCTTTTTGAGACAGGATCTCACTTTGTAGCCCAGGCTGGTCTGGAACTCACAGCGATCCTCCTGCCTCAGCCTCTCCAGTGCTGGGATTATAGGCATGCACCACCATGTCTGCCACCCTTGTGTTTTATTCAGAACTCAAAGGATGGCATAATGTCCACTGGCTTTGAACGGGGGAAATCACCTCACTCAGTCTATTGACACAGTGCTAGTATTGGCCAGAAAAACCTACAGACATCCAGAAGAAATAAATGTCTTGCCAAATGTTGTAGCATAGTCAACTTGACAGAAGATTAACCGTCGTACCCATATAAGCTGAATCATTAAACTTTGTCCTCTTGTGTCTAGCGTAGGATG